CCCTATCCCCATGCCCCCCACTCTCAAAAAGGGGATGGCCGAACAGCCGGCTGCAGCCTCTTTGCTTTTCTCAACCACTCAAAACAGACAACTGGGCCAATATCCAGTTGCCCCTTCTCTGAACTTTCCTGAAGGAGACTGGAGGAAAACGTGGTTGGGTGTGTTGCAATCCAAGCATCCTACCAAAGGCCTGGAGGCCCATTGGGAGTGACAGCCTGGAACTAGCTGGCAAGTTTCATAAAAGGCTTTATGGAGCTATTCTGTTCATGTAGGGCCAGGTTATGACCCAGCCCCACTGAATTCAGGGGTGTGCTCGGTGGTGCGCTGCACTGCTCATCTTGAGTCAGGAGTGCTGAACCTGGCCCTGATTTCCCAGTGTCGCTTTACCAGCAGATTGTGACACATGAGTTAACGATAGTAAAAGCATCATTTTTGTTTATAAGCATCATGTGTCTTAGTAACCAGAGCCCTTGCTGTAACAGCTGAGTCAGTCTCAGATGGGGATGAGGTGGTCGCTGTTTGTGCATGGCACACAGGGAGCGAGAGTCTCTGCAGCTAGCCTTACGGCATATGTATGAGCTCATGGTTTAAAGAGACAGCTTCAGAAAATGGCCCTTTTGGGCATCCTTGGCGCAAAGGCCAAGAGTTTTGGTTGGTTTTCACATTAACCTCTTACTGGAGGGCGTGACGAGCCCCGTCTTTCTCTTTTAATTCGATAACAAAATACTTAGCGCCCTCCGCAAGCCTATGAATGCCAGGAACAAAGGAGCAGCAGTCTAGTTGCAGTACGGCCACAGGAATGTTTTCTACACGGATCTGCTAAACCAACAGGGCTCGATCTTCAGCAGCGTCTCTGGAACCTAAGCTTGACACAGGTTGGGGAGTAGCGATGTGGGCAGCCGATGTTTGGATGTATCCCACTTGTCATTGCTCGTTGCAGCATGAGATCCTGGCGTGTTTGGGCCGATTAAGGCTTCATGACTAGTTCAGCTATCTTCTGCTTCATCGTTATCTCGCCACCTTGGAAAGGAGTGGATGACCACGTGTCTGTCAGTGCCCAGAGAGTCAGAAAGTCAGTTGCCACGGCACGTGGAGGGTTGCGCATCTTTCCGTCCTCAGTGCCTCTCAGTAGATAGCATAATACTTGGCTGGATCAGTGGCTCTTTGCCGCATGGTTCCCTGGGCAAACGATCATTCCCTCCCGTAAGACTGGCGGTGTCAAGTGAAGGATGCTGCCGCAGGACTCGGGCACCTTGGCAGGTCTATGCAGAGGCCCGAGGGGCAGCAGAAACATAGTGAGCCAAAGGATTATTGAAATGTGTTGGCAGGGCTCTGTGGGAGAATGTTACACACAAACCTCTTACTCCTTTGTGGACACTCGGTTAACTCCAGAGCTGCTTTTTTACCCTCCTCGGGGTGCACGTACTAGATCAATGGGAAGCGCACTTCTGTGGATGTCTGTTCTAAAAACACTTACTTGGCGGGTTTTGTTACTTCTTGGGACAGGGAAACCATGTGAATTTACAGCGGGGTGAACAAAACGGGGTATCTCAGTGAGGGCCAGACCTTACAGAAAGAAGGGAATTCAGGGAGCAGCCGAAGGAGATCTCCCTTTGACCAAAAGCCGTGTGTTCCCCACCCTCTTGCTGAATGCTCTGAAGCCGTGTAGACCATGTCTCTGATTTGCTCTGGAAGGAATCAGACTTGATTGTAACCAATTGTCCATTGATTCAAGTTTTTTTTTTTTTTTTTTTAAAAGTGAAATCTCAAAACTGGAAATTCTGTGCCAAACCCCAAATAGAGTCCTTGAGCGTGAGTTGTGCTGTGTGTGTGTTTCTGTTCCAGGTGCCCGCAGTGATAGGCCTTTGGATTCACCTAGGCCCACTCTGCACTATGATGCTAACCAGCTTTCGGCAGTTGGTGTAAACATGACCTGCATCCGCCCCCTGTGTGGTAGCTCATTAGGTCTCACCATCACGTGACTAGGGGAGTCGTCTTCCCTCTCTCCGCTGGATTGTGCTCACGTCACTCGGGAATACTCCATCCCTCACTCACTAAGGGATTGCTTCCCCTTTTCTCCTCTGATTAAGCCTATGTGAACGTAGTCAGGCAATGTGGTAGGAGTGGAGTTACAAACCCAGCTGGCACATGGCTGTTACAATGAATGTTTGGTCCCAACGTCATCAGGAGTGACGTGATCTGCATATTAAACCCTGATTCAGGTTTGTAGCATAGGTGGGAGGGGTATGTGAATTACCAGCCGGATAGCGATGGGTCGAGGTTCCCTTGTCAGTATGAATTCAGATCGATCTAGGTATTTACACTATTGGAAGGGGCTGTTAGGTAAGGTCGTAATTCCACATTGCACCTTCCCCAAGCCCTGTGTTGCTTGCTGCTGTTAACGAGTAGATGTCTGAACAGCACCTGACTCCAGAGCTTGTCAGCCCAGGGCACAGATGGATTCTGACCTCAACTGTTGGCTGAGTAGCACTCAAATCCGTTGAGTGAGTGACTGGTTCTGCAGCAACCTAACAAGCGCTCCGTTGAGTGCTGGGGTCGCTTACTCAGGTCAAACCCATCGCTCCTGTCACTTACAGTCCTATGAAGTGAATTCCACGACCTACGGTCTTGGACATGGCTTTACATCCAGTCCTGCCTGGCTGGCTTCTCTGTGCATGTTCAGGTGTGGGTCAAATATGATTTTTTGGAGCTCTAGGAGGCCCTATGTAGCAGGGCTGCTGCAGAGGGCTGTAGGAGTCTCTTCCCACCTCTGCCACTGGCTTGCTGTGTGACCTTGGTCATGCCACTCCCTCCTTGCATGTTTCAATTTTTCTCAGCTGTATAGTAGAGATGATTTGCCCCCCTTTACAAAGCTCTTAAAGACCTCAAAGAGCCACCCGCATATAAAGTATTCAGAGACTGGGGGCTGCCATTTAAGCCTCGTTTTTTCAAGGGTAACTAGTGATTTTTTTTGGATGCCCAATTTCAAATGCCTTAAAAGGGGCAAAGGCCCAAAGGGCTGAACACCCCGCCTCTGAAAGCCAGGCTCTGTCGAGGCATTTCTACCTGAGCACCCACAATCACTAGGCCATTTTCAATAAGCTAGACTGTGGCTTGGCTTGGCCTGGGTGTCTAGGTGACTAAGGCCCTACCAATTTCATGGCTATGAGAAAGGTGTCACAGACGGTGAAACAAGCCCTTTCCTCTGAAGTCTGATGTTTCCTTGCTCCTAGGAGCGCCCCATTAACGGGAGCTTCCTGTCTCTGACTGGGCCTCGTGCAGACTGCTCTGGCCACGGGAGGCGGCACCACTTCTTGCAACACTGAAATTGGCCATCGTGCATTGTGATTTTGGTAGGGCCCGATCCAGGACATTTTTGGACTTGCGGGTGGAGGGGCTGGTCCGCTCTGGAAGGCAGGAGCACACTGTGCATCAGCAAAGCCTAACCTAGCCCTTTTGGATCAAAGGCCCTCGCATCACCCTTTGTAAATGGGGGGCTCTATTTATAGGAAGCAACTTAACTGTAACCGGTTCGGATACAAGCCCAGTGCTTAATTTGTAATGAGAGGTGCCGGGGCTCCAGCAATTGATTTATATTTGTAACTGATGTAGGAGGTGCCGGGGCTCCAGCAATTGATTTATATTTGTAACTGATGTAGCAAGCCCAGGGGGGCCGGGGCGGTGAACTGGTACAAATTAAACACACTGAGTCCTGTTCTGACGCTGATTACACCGTGTCCTGGGGCCTTTGCAGTCAGTCAAGCTCCTCAGAGGAATGTCAGCGTCACAGTGTCAGCCATAAATCCTTTTCAGTGATCTGCTTGGCTAGGAGGCCAACCTTTCCTATCGCACATGGAATTCATCGCTGTAGCTGGTCCCTTTGGCACGGGGGTTACGCGTGATAATGACACGGAGATGTCAGCTGCTCCCAATGCCCCTTAGAGTTCTGGTCACATGTTACAGCTTGCTCCAAAGATGCTCTGGCGGCTTCTCCGGCACCTTCAGGTGATGGGGCTTGGTAGCGCAAAGCCATTTGGTCCAGAGCTATTTCTGGACTCTACCCCACCCACCTTCTCTCTGTCTTCCCCCCCCCCAGACTCCAGCAACTGAGCTCAGTGGAGAGTAGATAGTAGGGCAGGATGGATCTCAGCTTTGCGATGTGCAAAGTGACATGGCCTCTCACTTTGACAAAGCTACAGTCAGGCCCTGGTCTGAATAGCAATCCACTCGCTCTTGGCTTCTTCCTGACGGGCGCGTGGAGGGTGGCCGAGAGAGAGCTGGTTGGCATGGACTGGCTAGCCTGCTACATTAATGATGTTTGTACGTGTACCTAGAGGGCGTGAGATGCAATTTTGTATTACGCTGAAAAATAAAGAATGGTGGATCTCCACCCTCCCCTCCAGCTGGAAATGGTTTCAGTCTGTCCACACTAACTACCAACCACCCTTAGTATCCAGGGAAGACCAGAAGTGTCTGTTTCTCAACAGGCCACCACCCTAGTGTGGACAGGATGTGTGGGGAATATCTGGTGTTGAGAAGGGGCTACATCAGGAATCCGGGAGATAAAGAGCATTGTCCTGTTATCGGGAAGCAAAAGCAGCAGCAGCAGCCAGTTTAGCTCCCGTTGGCCTTTGTGACGCTAAGAGCATGAGGTGCATGCCGTGCTTGAATGGGAGAGGCGGGGGGAAAGGCAGAAGGAGTTGCCAGTGCTCAAAATGGCCTGACCTTTCTCACGCCTCTAGAATTGCACACATGAAACAGCACTGATAGCTGAGGTGTCAGGGCTGAGTATTGGCAAGCCCAGCCTGGGCCCATGGACTCGGTAGCGGGGCTTGGCCAGCGTTCTAAAAATACCTGTTTAGATAGTGCTTTGAAAGTTTGCGGGGTGCAGATAGTAGAGTGATTATGGTACAGGTTGAACCTCTCTAGTCCTGCACCCTAGGAACC